ATCATCAGTACAGCCTCCTACCCGCCATGTATTGAAAAGACATGTAACTAATTTGCAAGAAGGATATGTGAAAGAGAAGGAGAGAAAGTGTAATAGCGTGAAAGTAATAAATGTGATGAAGCAGATGGAAGAGGAGACGACTAACATATGAGACGGATAGTAAGTCTATGTGAATTATGAGAAGGCAGCGTTCATGAAAATAACCTACTAAGTTTTTAATTCCTACATTATCAGGGTAGGTGAATTTACTAAGTACCGATCGGTTCCTGAAGCAAAATCTTAAAACAAAGCGTTCTAGTCTGGCAACATCAAACTTTTTTTGTCTGAATATTATAAGGCGTCTAGCCCAGTCAAGAAACCGCTCTGGAAGACTTGTTAATGATAGTGTACCATGAGTAACCTTTTTTCGTCCGGATAAATTCGTTTCGGAATTACCAGGCGTGAAATCCCGAAGTTTGAGTGATCGAAAAATTGTTGTGTTTTTGGAAATTTTGAATTTTTCTTTTCCCTTTGTTGATTTAAATTTCAGGAAGTTATGAATTTTCCATTGTTCAGTGGATGTTTGAAGATTACTGTTTGGCTTTGCTATGTGTTTCCTGTAGTAATATTTCTGCTAATGATATGGTAAAATTTTATCATATTTTGTGCTAAAAAGTAAATTTCTGCTCCCTGGCCGATTTTCGGGTGTTTTCTAGGCATGATATAACTGTGGTAATGGTAAGAAATGTGTACGACTTAATGGACCGAAACATTTCTTACCTAATTTGTTATTTCTATTTATACCTTTTTATTCTTTTTGGCCTTTTCCATCATCCACTTGTACATTTTCCAATTGAATTTTCACTTAACCTTAAATAATAATAAGTAGCTCCCATTAGGGTTCTGCTCGAAGATTCGTTTTTGCCGAATTGAGTGATCCCTGTTTTTACGGCTCATATCCATGGTAAATTAGTGCTAAAGCGTGCCACGGAGTTGCCATGGAAGAAGCGGTCACCCACAGCTTTACTGGGATTTTTCTGTTGTGGACAATATCTGGCCGGTCGATCTACTCATAGATTTCTCCAACTGTGTTAAGAACTAGGTCCTGAAAGGCGTTTTCAGTGGCTGTGAGCCCTCGAGAAATAATGCGAAATCTGGTAATTGCACGGAATTTGATTCCTAGAAAATCGTAGGGTTTACACTGGCTAGGCGTCTCCTTGACTGGGCAATAATTCGGGCTAGTAGTAGGGTCCACGTCCCTTGTAAGTCGCTTGGGTCGCCTCACAATTCCGCAACCCCACACTGGATCGACAGTACTTTACAATTCTGACACGGCGATCTTATACAGGCCGCTTTCGCGCCGTTACACGACCTACCTAGGAGGGAGTCATGATGCAACAAAATAAATAATTTGAAGTAAAAATAATTGGCCAACACACGGGCTGTCCGTGCGAACATGCGTTTTTTGCATAGTTCCCCGCAGTTTTTGTTGTTACGGGCACCGGCTTTTTCGGCAAATGCTTATAGCTAAGCAAATTAAGACTGGCCGCCAGAACTGTCAGAAAACACCGCCCTTGAAATTTCAGCTTTCCAGCTCCCCGGGCTCCTGAGTTAGCAACTTACTGGAAAAAAATTTTCATGGGTCCGTGCGAGTTTAACACGCATACCCGAGAGTTAGGTTTGAGCTGAATGGAACTTAGGTGGACGGGGTATATCCTCTTAAAATTACAGTCCTTTAGCTTCTCAGGTACTCGAGTTATCAACTTACCCAAAAAAAAATTTGACGGTCCCGTACGCGGGTACCACGCATACCCGGGGGGCTAGGTTTGAGCTCACTAATACCCATTTGGACGTGGAACATCCTCCTTAGATTTCAGCGTTCTAGCTTCTCAGATCCCCGAGTTATGAATTTACCCGATTGGCGGGCCCGTACGCGAGTACCACGCGGATAATGGCTCCAATTTTGGGGACTGGGGCCCGTATGTGAATGTAGATTTAGTTCGCAAAGTTTCAGCTCTGTAGCTTTTGTAGGTCTTGAGATGAAAAACTGTGACAGACGCACACACGGACACACAGACACAGACACACAGACAACCTCTCGTCAGTATGCGTTTTTCGCATTGCATAGCTGCAAAAATGCATAAAAAAAGAAAAGGAG